GAGGACGGAGGAATGCAAGGGTCTTCTGTTGTGGTGTGTCCAGTTAAGATCCATCCAGTACAGAGGAGCTTGGTAAGGCCTCTCTCTGTATGGCAGGGATAAGGACAACCCTGAAACCAGGGCCTGGGAAACCCCATCTTTTCCTGCATCAACCAGATCCCTGTGAAGTCCAGAAGTAGTAAGTCCTGTGCTCCAATCGTTAGTAAACAACTGGATGGCAATGTGTGAGAGTCACTTTGGACTGTCCAGGATCCATTCTTTAACCTGGCCAAAGTGTACTGTCCCCTTTTTCAAGGACTTCCCTACACACACATCTATTTTTTCTGAAATGCCATTGTCTCCCTTATGGAAGTACAAAGCACCACAACCAACCTCATCTCAGGGCAGCTAAGCATAGGGAGGGGCAGACAGAGGCCACCCAACATGGCCACAGCAGCATACACACCAGACAGGCCCTGCCACTGACCTCTCAGGTCTCCCTGCCCTGGGCTCACCTGGTGCCGCCATGTTTCAAGCCAAGTTGTCTAGACCCTTCCACATCCTTCCACTGCTCCTAACTCCTAACCCTGCTGGCTTCTCATCTCAGCCATTCAGACTGACAGGCTGGGCTACTTCAGATCGGACAATGCAGAAGAAAAGTATTTTTCATAGAAACTCGAAATCCACTCAGATTCTCAGAAGTTCCGCCAATGTATCTGTCTTCGTCACTTTCTGTGTCATTGGGATAAAATACTTGACACCCATAACTTAGAGGAAGAGAGGGTTATTTTGGCTGATGATTACAGTTTGTGGTTGGCTGGCTCCAGCCAGCAGAGTGGAATAAGCTGCTTATATCACGGTAGCCCAGAAACAGAGAGAAGGGAAGGGCCAGGGAGGAGCCGGGTCAGCCCCCAGTGACCCACTCCCTCTGACCAGGCCCCACCTCGTATAGACCATCAGTGGACTAATCCCCGCACTGAGTACAGTGCCTTCAGGACACAATCACCTTCCAAGCACGTGTGACTTTGGGAGACATTTCAGACCCAATCCAACAGTACCACTATTATAGTATTTTAAAAACACTTATAATGACTAGAGGGGAGGCGTGAAACTTCCAAAGGACAGAGACTACTCTCAATTTGCACAGCAATTTCAAGAGTAGAGCTATGTGATCGCATAATATTGCCAGGGTACTGAATGCCATTAAATTATATACTTCAAAATGGTTAAGATGGCAAGATGTATGTTACACGTGTGTGCGTTAGCTTTCCACCATGGTAATTAAGTCTTTGAAATAGTTCAGCTATTAAAAAAGAAAGGTTTGCTTTGGTTCTCACTTGAAGAGATTTCAACTGGTTGATGCCATTGCCTGTGGACCTGCGAGAGTAGCCACACACTGAGGTGGGAGCAGAAGGCGGAAGCTGCCCCTCACTTGTCACGGCCAGGAAATGGGGGAGACAAAGTGAGCAAGAACACAGAGAAACAGCGTCCCGAGGTCCTCGCTGACAGCACTGCTCTCACGACTGCACCCTCCCAAGTAGGCTCTACCACTTTCCAGTAGCATCCGGCAGGGCACCAGGCCTTCCACACATGGGCCGTTGGGAACATCCCAGATGCAGACAACCATATAAAAATTCAGGCTAAAACAGAAGCCAAGATACTGCTTTCAAATCTCTTCAATTAATACAAAATAAGCCAAAACCAAAATGGAGTGTAGGTATCAATAAAAACCCACCAGGACTTGTGCTCTTCACTGTACGTAAGTGATAGCCTAATAAATACAAGAAACAAGTGGTTATAACCTAGTTATATAACACTGGCAACCCCTAGATTTCCTAGTGACCTCAAGTATAGATGCCTCCTTATCCGCAGAACGCAGAACACAGCTGGATCCTGAGCTCCCAAGGCAGCTGTCCCAATCTTTTCACATTGGCAAGTGCGTATCTCTGTGATTCGGACTTTTTCATTCTGTGCAAGCTAGACAAAATGTAAAAATAAACCGGATGTTGGGATAACAAAATTGAGGAGATGGACTACAGACCACTGGTTTCCAGGGATTAGGGAACGTAGGCGCCTCTAAAGGGCAGCCCAGGTGAGTTTCTTAGAGGTGAGAAAGCCATTCTGCTCCTGACTGTCAGGGTGAATGGAAAAATCATGTAAGACAAAAGCAAATAACTACAGTCGTCCCTTTGTATGTATGTGTGAAGGGTTGGTTTCAGGATCCCTTCATGTACCAAAATCTATGGAAGTTCAGTTCCCTTGCATAAAACAATCAGTTGTTTGCACGTGATCTATGTACATTTCCCTTCTCTCTAGATTATTCATATCTAATACAATGGAAGTGCTGTAGAAATGGTTATATTGTATCGTTCAGAGGGAAAAGACAAGTCGGGAGTCTGCACATGTAGAACCCCCACGCACTTTCAATCCACGGTAGATTGGATCTGTGAATGGGAAACCTGTGGACACCCAGGTACATACACTGTTTATATAAAAACACATTAAAAACAAGTGATAATGGGTTAAGATCCACAGTCTAGTTCATTGCCTTGGGCCCACTGACTTCCTGGTTCTGACAATGTAACGGTAAGATATTACCACTGGTGCAAGCTGGGTAATAGGAACGAGAGATCTCTCTATTATTTTGGCAACATTTTGTGATTCTATAATTATTTCTAAATTTTTTTTTAAAATATTGTAGATACAGAAATAAAAAGCGGATGTTGAGACTGGTATATAACAACCGTAGCCCAGTTTCCAAATTTGTATGAATTTCCAATCACCTTGTTCTTACTGACTTGATAACATGCACAATTATGACCCATTAAAATCTTACTAATAGAGCACCATACAAGATCAGTTCTTTAGTAAAAGTTGAAAATGGTGATTTAAAAATATTAGAAAAATAACATAGTAGAAAGTAACAGGTTGCTAGTTTGGCCCTCAGCTAGCCAGACACCGGATTAAGAATGAAGAATGATTACAAATGGTCCCTGCCACCAACAAATATTTTCACTCAGGAAATGAGACTGGGACACCACAGAAGGGCCTGAGATGATCCCTGTTACCAGGGATATGACTGAGTGTCAAATGGATACTATTACGACCTGAATTGTGCTCCCCTAGCCCAGCAAATCCCATGTGACTGTATTTAGAGAAAGGGCTTGGAGAAATGTAGTCAAGGTCCAGGTGGCCATCTGCAAGCCAAGGAGAGAGGCCTCACCAGAAGCCAAACCTGCAGACCTGGACCTGGGACCTCTGGCTCCAGTACTAGGTGGCGATAAATTTCTGTTGTGTGAACCAAGCAGTCTATGTTTGCTATAGCACTCTGAGAAAACCAACAAAACTAGTATGATGCTTTGGTTTAGAAAAGGGAGAAATGCTTGATTCCAACTAGCTTCCCACTCTTCCATGGGGGGCTCACATAGAGTACCTAGTTGGAACCAGCGATGGAGTCACACCAAAAGAGGAATCTTTCATGTGTCTCAAAGAAAACGAGAGCCAGCTGTCAACCACAAGAAAACTACGTGCTCAGACGCCTGCTCACAGACACTGGGGCTCCTCTGCTCAATCAACCAGCCCACAATGATGGGTGAGGAAGCCTCCCACATCCCAAGCCAGGTACTGAGGACAGAGGCCAGAGCTCAGCTCGGGATAGGGTAGCCTTGGAGGTGGGGGCGGGGAGAGGCAAAGGCAAGGGCTGTATGAGGACCAGGGAGTCAGATAACCCACGGGAGCAGGGGACAGAAACTCCCCCAGGAAGAGCTGACCCCGCAGGACTGAGAAGGAGGAGGCTACACAAACCTTGGTAGCTCAGGAGATGAACAGAGATCAACACACATCTTCTAGAGCCCCAACCAGACTTGGGCCTCCGTCAGCTATCCTTGGGCACAGCATGTCTACAGTGTCACTGTCTAGTGATTCCATTATGGATACAACCCCAAATAACAAGGCACGGTCACTGGCTGGGTTTGACACCTTGCTCTCTCATCTGTTTAGAGGACTGATGAATCAAGAAATAATCATTTCATGAACTCTAACATGTGAAACAAATTTTAGCTAGCATCATACTAGATTTTGAAAGGCCTTTTATTTAAATCACTGACTCTGCTGTGATTATTTCATCGAGAAACAAAAGTGGAGGTTTACAGAGGGTCACCTGCTCCTCCCTGGCAGAGGCGGAGTGGAGGCCTGCAGCTGGGGCTCCCTGAGAAGCACAGATTGTTATCACTCAAGTTTCACAATATCACATCTCTGTCTCTCTATTATTTTCCTGCAATTTAAGGGACACAAAGCTCATGCTTTTGCTTTTAGCAATACATCTCCTGACCTCCTGGTTTGTAAAAGGTTTGTGATATGACCAAAATAAAGGAAAGAGTCTTGGCATTTCCTCTATAAACCTAGCACTCTATCCCTCTCCCTGAAGAATGGTTTCCACTTCATACGAGGTATCTCTGAGAATAGGAGAGAAAGGAAAACGGTAAGGAAGGGGGAAGGTGGGGAAGAAGAAAAGGAAGGGGAGGGAGGATGGAGCACATGCTTTTCCAGGCCGCATGCTGGTATTAGTACAGTCTGGCCACAAAGCAAGTTAGCCCGAGGCCCCGCTGATCAAAGAAAAAGGCCAGAATTACAGCTAAGTTCAGAGTGCTCAGTAAAGGACACTCATAGGAACCAGCATGAGCCACCGTGTCTGTGACAACGGCATAACCCAGCAAGTAACCCTTCTTGTCTAAATGACCAGGACTCTTACAGCTAAATGTGTTCCCACCACAGATGCAGGGGGGCAGCCTGGTGGCTCCTCCCCTTTCATTCCTTCTTAACTCTTTATTGGAGGCCTTCGGTCACAAACAACTCCAAAACTTTTCAAGTAAAATAGAGACGATTCATTAATAGGAAAAGAGGCAACAGCAAATACTGAATTTGTTTGGGGGAAAGCTTCAGACCAGAAGTGTTATCAGGAAGTCTCGGGATACATCAGGATACTCAGGATACTCTTAGGTTATTATTAAACTCTAACTTACCAACAGTATCGCATGGCTCGTCTTTGTGAACGCAGAAATCTGTCCTAAAAAAAAAAAACCAAAACACAGTCAGATGTATGTGGTGTCCTGCAGGAACGGAAGACAACACTGTCATTAACCATGACCAGCTGTCCTGCAATGTCACTGCTTTGCCACAGACCAGAGCCATGTTTGCCAAGAGGAACCTGCCCACATTTTAAAATGGTAAACCCATGTGATGGCTCGCATCTAGATGCCCCTCAAAGTCTCATGTGCTCATAGATGGCGTTTTGAGAAACTAGATCATGGGAGTGAGACACCAGATGAGTCCACTGACTGGTTTAACCCAGGCCTGGATGTGGGCAATGGATTTGTTAAAGAGGGAAGCCCCACTCTGGGTGTGGGTGGGATCGTTCAATTGGCTTGAAACCTGGATGGATTAAAAAGGGAAAAAGGAAGGTTGCTTCCTCTGCCTGCCATACTATGAGTGTTTCTCCTCTGACATCCACCCTGCCTTGGAGCCAGCCAACTATGCACTGAAACCTCTACAAACTGTGAGCAAAATATGTAAGCTTTTCTTCCTTTAACTTGCTGGGTTTCCCCAGTACTGAGAAAGTAACTAAGACACCCCATAGAAGTCACCCACAGAAAGACCTTCTTTTCTAATGAACTACTGCATACAGAACAGTTGCTGAAGTCTCCTCCTAGCAGCTGAAAAAGCTTTGGAAGATGATGTTTGTTAAGTCATTGATCAGAGACAACTGTCAAAATCATTGTACTGTAGTGGACTCTCCGAGCTGTTTGGGAGCAACCTATTCCCATGAATTATGTCTAGGAGGACAAGATCATGATGAAAACTCATATTCTTTAAAGCTCCTCAGGATCCCCTAGGTGTGCAGCTGTGCAGAGTGAGACAGCAAAGATGATTAAAACGTGGTCCTGCCCTGTTTCCATGGGATCGAGGGGCTCACGCTCAGCTCTCATGGTGCAGGGAGGGGTCTGAGCTGTCCTTTGCCAATAACAAACATTCCTACGGTTCTGTTTCTAAGTTTCCAGAGTCAGCACCCAAACACAGAATGCCGGCTGGGGCAGTATCCTGCCTGGAAGCCGGGGATCAGGAAGCTGGCCATACACTGTGATCCTTCTGGGCTCCATGGTCACCTACTCACCTACCACTTCCTGTACACCTGAAAGTGTACAGGGAAGGTGTGTTCTGAAGCCACCATTCCTCATTTTCCTTTAAAAATTTAGGAAGGAAGGTGCTGGGGATTTAGCTAAGCGGCATAAGTGCCTGCCTTGCAAGTAGGCAGTCATGAGTTCAATCCCCGGTATCGATTAAAAAAAAAAATCTAGGAAGGAGCCAAGCACAGTGGCTCACACCTGTAATCCCAGCGCTCTAGGAGACTGAGATAGGAAGATCCCAAGTTCAAGTCTAACCTGGGCAATTTAATGACTTAGTGAGATTCTGTATCAAAATTCAAAGTTTTAAAAGGGTTGGGGATATAGTTCAGTGCAAAAGCCCTGGGTTCAGTCCCCAGGATGGTCAAAAACAAAAATCTAAGAGGGAAGTTAGGGCCACCCAAATTAGGAAAGCAAGTGGAAGCCTGGTTGAGCCACAGCCCATCTTCCCTCCCTGGTACCACTACCCAGGTTCTGACCCTGTCACTGCACCCGGGTGCTCATACTCCTCAGCCCCACCCCTTCCCGCTCCCCCCACCCCTTCCTGGTCCCCATGTGTATTCTGAGTATAGGATGTGACCTGCATTCATGCAGGGTAACAGAGCAGGCTTCTCTGGTGACCTCCTCTTTATGATCATCTCTGCCTCTCACTGTATCCCAGCAATCTCCAGTACCCAGCACACTGCGGTGCACTGACCTCCAAGGTGTAACCCACATCTGCCCCCTCTCAGCCCAGTGCGGACATCCCCAAGCACAGAGTAAATGTTGCAAATCTCTAGTCCTGGCTCTGCATCAGGCTTGGGTGTAAACGCTAAAGATCCCGCCCACTTACACCCGGATCCTGGATCTGTGGGTTTAAAAGGCTCCAGTTGGCACCCTAGTGTGCAGAATCCCAGGCGCAGGCTGTCTCAGGACAAAGTCACCCCACCAGGCACAGTGGACAACCTGTGAGCCCAGAGGAGCGGCAGGACAGGTGGCAGGATGTGTGTGACAGCTTCCGCTTCCCCAGCGTGGCCAGGGAGAAAGCGAGGAGGAGCTCAGGGACAAATCGTACCAGCAACTGACATGAGTTTTGCTTACTCAAAATTTGTAACAGTTTCATAACAAATGTATATGTTTGCAGTCACAATTTTTGGTCAATTTAATTTTGGGAAGTACCAGAAATTGAACTTAGGGCCTTGTGCTTGCCAAGCGGGAGCTTGTGCCACTGAGCTATATCCCCATCCAATATTTTTAACAAAAATTGGACATCTTTAGGGGGTAAACTGTGATGCTTTGATACACGTAGACCCTGGCAAATGATTAAATCAAGTAAACGAGCATCTCTACCACCTCACTTATTAATCATGCTTTCATGGTGAAAATATAGAATTTAAAATCTCTCATAGCAATTTTCAAGCATGTGCCAATGTTAACAGTCACCATATTATAGAGTAAGTGTCCAGAAGTTATCAATTTTAAGATTATTTTATGAAAGGAAAAAAGAAAACCGCTTAAAGACCAGACCCCAGAACCAAGGGGACCGAAATGGAGGAAGCATAACCACAAAAACTCACAAAAGCAAGACTCCTTTTTAGCAGAGTAAGGAGCCACAGTGGAGGAAGCAGGTAGATGACAGAGTCCTGGATGAAGATCAGGGACCACAGTGGGGTTCCTGGGGGGAGGTGGGGGAGCAGGTTCCCTGCCAGGCTCAACAGCAACACACACCTAAGCTTAGCAGGAATCTCCTGGGTTCCTATCTTTCTCGGTCATGTACAGAACCAAAGGTAAAGCCGTGCCCGGTGAGTGCCCAGACCTCAGGAGCCCTGGTCCTCCTGAGAGCTCTGTGTGGCCCCAGACCCAGGCAACTCAGTGGCTGTCTCTAGCCCCACACACAGCTGCAGAAAACCTGGCTTCCACTGCTTCTGGCTTGGCTGCTTCTGTTGGCCATGATGTCATGCTCACATCCTCCCTGGTGGCCACCCGCCAGTCTGTGCGTGTCCAGGAGAATAATTCTCAGGCTCAGACAAGCCCATGAAGAGGAAAGAAAGAGACGAACCCCTCGGATTGGCCAGCTTCAGACCCAGGACACTGTACATTCAGCTCAGATTACTCTGGAAGGTAAGGATTGCTTCTCCAGAGCAGCAGCTGCCTTGCACCCAATTTCCTTGCAAAAACATCAGCCCGTTATTATCCCAACCTAGGGAATTAGAGCGCTCAGCCTCTAATTATTAAACGATGCTTCTCAGCCAGCTCTGCTTCCTGGCTAGCTCCAACACTGCCTTCCTGAAATTGTGGGAGGTCTTCAGTTTCACATCTGCAGGGCCCAGAGGAAGCAACCGCCGCAGCAGGTGAGAGCAATCAAGACTACTTAGGTAGCTCTGAAGTGTCAGCGTGAGAGGGAGAAAGACCGTGCCAGCTCCATGCCAGCTCCGGGGCCTCAGGTAACAGAGCCAACACCGGAGGCCAGAGCTCAGTTACCTGCAGATAAAAGCAGATTCAGGTTTTCTATCCCTGGATAAGGACTTTCCACCTCCAGAACCTCACCCAGAACCACACCCACGCAGCCAAGATCTCTCCTCAATGTGCTGAGTTAGAAAAGAGCCATTAAAAAATATTACCATAAAACATGTAAGGCCTAAAACAGCATCTTAGCCACTAAGTATGCAATAGCATTCATTACACTCACATTGTCATGCAATTATCACTACCATCCATCTCTAGATCTGTTTCATCTCCCTAAACTGAAATTTTTGTTTTCCCCCTCAAACATGAACTCTCCATTCTCCCCTACTGCCAGCCCTGGAAACTGCTCCTCTAGCTTCTTTCTTTGTGAACGTCAGTACTCTAGGTACCTCTATAAGTGGCATCAACAGTCACAGTCTTTCTGCAACTGGCTTATTTCATTCACCATGATGTCCTCTATCTAGTTTTACCTGAGCTGTAGCATACGTATGAGTTTCCTTATTTAAAAAGGTTGAATCACAGTTTATTGTGTCTATGCTAGACTTTGCTTATACACGAACCGAGTGGCTTCCACCTTTTGTCTATAGGCAACGCTGCTGCTGTGAACACGAGTACTTGAACATCTTGTAGAACGCACACTTTTGACTGCCGGATGACAGTGACCCTATCCATTATTATGCGGAGCAGTCAAACTGACTCACATTCCTACAAAAGTACACAGGAACTCCAAATTCTCCACTATCGTCTAACCTTGTTAATTTTCCAGGTTTTACTTTACAGTATTCATTCTGATAGATGTGATCCACAGAAAAGAACATTTTACACAAAATATTTCTTTTGTGTAGATAAGCTGTTTGCAGGCAGGAAAGGGAAGCCTAAGTAGCAGCATCTTTGAGCCCACAGGGCGTTCATACCTAACCTATGACTTTTTTGGAAATGGGCTAATCTACAAGTTTTATCAACTCTAACTTTAGTGACATTTATTGCCTCTGAAAAAAAAGTGCTATTCACTCCCCAAACAAGACCATTAAAAAATTCTTTCTTTGCCCAGTTCTAGAGATCTCTGACAGAGTATGGTGACTACAGCTAATATATTATATATTTAAAAGTTGTGCATAAATTTTAAATATTCACCACCAAAACATGATTAGTAATATGGATATTATGACATTCATTAACTTGTAAGGAAACAATAGAGAGAAAAGTTTTTCCAACATAGGGGAAATTTCCATAAGTTATTAACATTTTTTAACAAAACAACTGGAATTTATACATTTATACATTTTATACGGTGGTTATAAAAACCACTTTCAAAATAGGGAACTTGCCAGCAATCATGCTGTTTAGAATACCTCTCCAGCAAAGCCTTGAGACCTAATTTAACATCATTTGGAAAATTAATTGACTCTAGAACATGCTACCCACACTCCTGCTTGCTCCTCAAATGGAATCCACTCTCAAGGATGGTACCCTTAACCACATCCTGCAATCTATAGGGTGCATTTCCAAGTGCCTGGATGTGTAGTGTCATTCTCTGTGGTGTGGCCAGAACTAAAGGGCAGTGGTACCAGCAGGTCCCCAGATGGCCACAAATCAGGTCACCTTCATCCCTCGGTCCTTGGTGCCTACTTGTGCCCCAGTCATATTAAAATAACTGAATAGACTGTTGCAAAAACATTCCATCATGCATTTAATGACACCCTATACAAGCAACAAATGAGAAAGACCCATTAGGGTGTCTAGGATCAAAGAGCCTTTAACCCTTTGGGCTAGCAATGAACTCTTTAAGAGTGATCAGGCACCGACTTGGGTCTGGTGATGGCAGCATGCATGCTATGGGGTTTTAAGAGGAAAATGGAGCCTCACAGCCTGGCGCCTGGCACTACACAAGTTCTCTTCTGGCTTTGGGATGTCCCTGGGCCAGGAGTTTTCAGCATGTGGCCAAACAGATGTAAACAAAAAGCCAGTCTTGACTAAAAGCAAAACGTTAAATGGGATTTAACTCTTGATGGACGAACAGGCTGTCTTCAAGCTAAAGACAGAAAAGTTCTTTCTACTACTCTAACTCTAAACCCAGAGAAGGAAAAATATAGCATAGAATTTGGCGATTTCTCTAAATTAGAAAAGACAATGTAAGCCTTAAAATTCAAAGCTGATATATTCCTGGCTAGTCAAATAAAATTTAAGCATTTTTAATCGGATTATACTGTCATTTTTCCATAATTAATTTCTATAGGAAGATATCGATGCAAACATGTCACAATTTTATTTACATTATTAAAGCAAAGAGAGCAACACCCAAGAGAGGTGTTGAGATGTGAAATAGCCACATCTATATCTATGTGGTTGTGTCTCCCAGAAAAGGAAAATGGTCAAATCCTAACCTTCGGTACCTGAGAAGGTGATCTTATTTGGAGAGCAGGTCACTGAAGACATGAATGAGTTGCAATACAGTCACAGGGGATCAAAGTGGCCCTAATCCAATGACCACTGCCCCCTCTTAGAGGAGGGAAATGAGGATGATGGCAAGACACAAGCGAGCACGTGATGAAGAGGTGCACTGGAGGGACGCGTGCAGAAGCCAAGACACACCACGGTCTGCCAGAATCCACCAGAAGCATGAGCTGCAGAAAGGACCCTTCCCCAGAGCTACTGTGAGCGCGTGACCCTAACACCCTGATGTGGGCCATCTTGGCTCAGAATTGTCAGGGGATAAATATCCATCATTTTAAGCAGACTAGTTTATGATCATGTTTTTACAGCAGCCCCAGGAAACTAAAACCACCATTTCTCTGTGCTTGGGAGGCTGGCCTGGGATTCTGCTGTCCATTCGGGCAGCCTTGGTATTCTTTGCATTCTGGAAGGGGAAGTCCGGTCCTGCAGCCTGTATAAGGGTTTCACTGCTTGCTTCAAATAGAGGCTGCATGTGACTCCCACGCACACCTCGAAGGGTCAGCTCTCCAGAGGACCCTGTCAATAGTACATCCAGGGAGGCCATGCAGGACACAATACATGCCCACATAGACTTCTTCCTACGGATGCTGAGGGCACCCATCCTCCCCGCTAACTGTGCTGAGGGCAATCCGAGGCATATTCAGCCCCATGTCAGCAATTTGTCAGTCAGCGTCTAACGGAGCAGAGTAGTAGTAGGTGAATTTTCTTGGAATTTGTCAAGATTTTTGGCTAAGATTTTAGTATTTCTCTGTTATTAATAGTAGGATAAATAATGACTGGCACCAGTGCTAGGCAATGGAAAGAGTACTTCACAGGCAAGAGCTCATTTTCATCTTCTGCCCTCAGAACTGGGTAACATCATCAATCCCCAGTTAACTCACAAGAAAACTGAAGCCCAGACAAAGATCTGCTTTCCAAAGCTGAACTCCCAGCATCGCCCTGCAAAGGGAAATGCCTCCTCCCCTCTCAGGCCAGCCAGGGCAACTCCAGTTTTACCTGGTCACAAACACAGCAGCATCCACGGGGGGTGTGTCATCCTTCCCCCCTGGGACCTGATTATTGCCCAGGTACCGAGCGCCTCCGTATTCCTCATTTTGCCAGTGACAGAAGCTCTCCAGGGACCGCTCCCCATGGTGTCCAATGGACAACTTGACCTAAAAGAGATCCAGAGGGGAGTCAGAGAAATGAGCACCTCCCTGGGGCAGCCAGAGCGTCCATCCAGGAGATGGCAGGGTCACTGAGATGGACACAGCTGCTCGCTGAGATACCATTCAATACTCAGTGCACCCAAGTTAAAGTCTAACATCAGTGTGTATCCGGGAGGACCTTACCTCGAAGTCCAAATGAAGATTATGTTATTGGAGAAAAGGAAGCTACATTTTTTGGTAGTAGAACAGTGGGGCAGGCCAAGTAGAATTCTGTATCTCACATAAATTGGTCAGACCTGCAGGTTACTCCTCAGGTAACCATGTCATGTAGGAAGGTTCTCAGTTAAAAGGCCACAAAACAGTGCTATGATGAATCCAAGTGGTGTGGAAGCTCCAGGAAGGGAGCCATGGTCCCAAAGTCCTCCTTAGGCTCTGCGCATGTCTGAGAGCCACACACAAGACCTTCCAGGAGGGGAGAGGGGTTCCCGTGAGACTCGACAAGCAGCGCACACAGCGTGGTTCCAGTGTGCACACTTTCTCTCCTCTTATGCCACTGCTGTCTGCAGAGCCAGGGGACAAGGAATACAGATGGTGGGTGGCCCGGAACGTTCTTTAGCACTAACTACCAACAGGGAGCTCTGAGATGTGTCTCATTTTCTGCCTGCTTTGAAAGGTGTACTTACCGGGCGCTGTCGTAGCAGGACAAGCTTGGTAACTTGAATATTAATTTTAATTCCCAGGCTTTGGTGCTGAAACATGTTGTATACCTATCAAAAGAGAAAAAAGGAAGATATGCATAATCTTTTAAAAAGATACACTCATCTCCCAGATAGGGAATTGAAACAAAGGATAGTAGGTTAAAAACTAAGGACAGGTGAATAAACTATGGACTTTTAGATTATGGTAGCATATCAACACGGGCTAATCATAAAAATGCATTAAGACATTAATAGAGAAAACTTGAGAATTCTGTAGTGCCCACTCATCTTTTCTATAAATCAAAAGCTATGAATAAAAGTCATTAATTTTAAAAATGCAGCTTGCACTCTTTTAGTACTAGAAAAACTAAATAACTACATATAATTCCAATTTCAGTGCACGTAGACTTATTTGAACAAAAGAAAATACATACACAGCATGTGAGAAAAATGCGGATTGTATCAAAAAGATTTTCTGAATATCTAGAACACTCCCTTGAAAGTGAATTCTCTGAAAGAAAATGTGTATGATGTTTCCATCTCACCAGACTCACCCACACATGTTCACACACATGCACACACCCAAAGCTAAGCTGGAACTCACTGGGTCTTTTAAAAATCAGTAAGATGCATTGTTTTGCAAAAAAGAAAAGAAATGCATGTTAGCCGCTTCTGGCAGAAAATTCAAAACCCCATCCAGGCTTACTGCAGCACAATCAGAAGGGAAGGGGAGAGGGGAGATGCCTGCTGCATGCCAGCCTGCCCACCTCTGACCTTCACCACCACCAGTGAACACTGGCCTCTGCGCCACCCTTGGTGGGAAACGGGCTCATCAAGGTAAAGCCACCTGCTAAAGACACAGAGCCAGTCAATGACTTGACTCAAACCCAGATGTGTCTGGCCAAAACATCCATTTCCGTTTTTTCCCTGAAGCTCCCATCCTCGCCAAAGTTCGTCACTGAGACAAATTGTAATAACAGAAAAGGCTGTGTCCTCCTCTGTGTTGCCCCATGCTGTAGTTTGAGTAGAATTTCAGGGTCCCCAACATGTTCATATATAAACATCCCCAGAGTGGTGCTACTGGGAGATGCTATGGAGTTTTAGAAGGAGGGGCCTTGTGGGAGGCCTTCAAGTCACCTGTTCTGCTTCTTGCATGGAGACATGACCACTCTCTCTAATATACATTCCCCCCAATGCCATGTGGTGCCTTCACCAGAGGCCAAAGCAGTGGGTCTGGCTCAGCTGGCTCCTGACCTCCAAAATAGTGGACTCCATAAACCTTTTTATTGTATACATTACCTGACTCAGTTATTTAATGGTAGCAATACAAAACCACCTAATACACACCTCTTCTTGGAAGTAACTACAAGGACCTCAACATCAAGAGGCTTTGAGGAGTATTCCAAGGAGAAGAGCTAAGAAAAATTCAAATGATGAAGCATCAAAATGGACAAAGAAAGCCCATTAGATCTGAGGATTCCCAGGGTGCTGTGCCCTCTCGAGTTCCTTTTCCATAATATGGCAAAAATGGGACTCAGAGACTCCGTGGGCAGAGCGATAAAGGGGGAAGTAGTTACAGGATGGAGTGGGAGCTGAGATGAGAGCCTGTTGAATATTCCGCCTGGCTCAATCATAGCCATAACCCAAAAGGGAGAATTTTCTACCAGGGACATTGAAAGTCTTTCCAGTTGGTGCCACCTCTCACTCCCCACAGCAGCAGCCAAAAGCACTGACCACTGCCTGTGATGTGACCAGGGTCAGCTAAGGCCAAGCCCAGCAGAGCTGGGTTAGCGACAGTGCCAAGCCTACAAGCCAGGCAAGCACAGAGTGGAAGCATCTGTGTGACACAAGGATTAGGGGTGTCGCAGCCTGGACTTTATTCACTGAAAACTGCCATTACATTAAATAAACCCTACCTTTGTTTAACTTAATACTCTTTACCACAAGGAAAAAAAGGAATGCATCCAGTTGTTCTGTTCTCTTTTGGTTTTCCCAAAATTTCCTTTTCTCAATAATGAAATAGAAGTCAATTTAAAAAAAAAAAAAGAAAGAAACCTGACCACAGGCCAGTTCTGAAATCATGTCTTCATTATCTACCCCCAACCCTGAGGGAAGAAGGGGAACGCACATAACTTTTTCCTTGTTCTGATATTTCAAGAACCACCCAATGGCTCCAATTCAAATTTTTCCTGAAATATTCAGCATGAGCATTAGCCCCAAACTGGTAAACCTCAAATCAAAACATGAAAAACTGAACGAATGAAAACTCAATGTTATGAAGGAGAAAATTCATGCTGAACTGGACAGGAGTTTGTTTTCTTATTTTTGCTTCGTTTTTGTGTACAGGGGTTAAGGTGCGATCCAAACAAGGAAGGGCTGGAGGGCCCAGAGCTAAGTGGGAGAGGATGTGCTCATGATACACGAGGCTCAATTCTCAGCACCAAAAAATCTAAAAAATACACTGCGCCTGCCATGTCAACACCAGCCAAATGGCGAGTTATTAAGGAATACTGTCAGTGTAAAGGAGTAACATGCTAAAGTATCTTTCGGCGGTATTCTGATCTGCTGCATCAAAATGAATAAATCTGCAGGGAAGGATCACAAATATCAGGGAAAACTAAGACCACAGGAAAGCTACCTTGCCAGAAGCACCCACTGCTTCCTGCTGGATTAAGAACAGTTCAGACCCACGTGGATTCCGTGTCCCAAGGCACCCTTACATCCCTTGGAACAAATGCACAGAAAATAAGAGCTGAGGTGGAAGAGGAAAAAAAGGGGTCATGATCTAAGACGTGGGAGAGGGGGCAAAATGGGGAGCTGCCCAATGGGTAGTGTCAGTGTTGTGTTTTTTGTTTTGTTTTGTACCGGGGATCAAACTCATGACCTCGCACTTGCCAGATAGGCACTTATGCCGCTGAGCTAAATCCTCAGCCTGGTAGTGTCAGTTTTGCCAGAAGGAATAATAATTCTACATACTGGACAATAATATGAATATTTTTAATGCGGAACCATGCACTTAAAAATGGATGATGGTAAATGTTATGCATATTATGTAATGCATATTATGTGTTATGGTTGATATATTGTGTCAACTTGAGTTTAGAAGTTTAAGGAAGAGACTCGGCAGGGAGTCAGGATGCTCAGTTTGCTCACTTTGTAAATATCCTCAGCCTATGCAACAGAAAGGCACAGAGATAGTGTGAGTGCCACACCTGTCCTGGGGGCCGGGGTGGGGCGGGGTGGGTTAAGCCTGCTTACGCTATAGGGGAGAAGAGGCTTACTCTCCCTGCTTTTGTTCTGGCAGCTGCTTTGAGGTGTTGCCCCAGTGTCCTGCCAGCCTGCCTTGGAGCCAACTGTTAAGGACTGAAACCTCCACAAACAAGAAGCAAAATAAACCTTTCCTTCCTTAATTTTAGGCGTCAGGTATTTTGTCCCAACAAAGAGAAAAGTAACTGAGTAGTGTTCGTTTTGCCAGAAGGAATAATAGTTCTCCATATTAGACAATAGTATGAATATTCTTAATACCGAATCACACACTTAAAAAATGGCTACCATGGTAAATGTTATGCATATTACATCACAATAAAAATTTTAGCTCACTCCTTTAAAGAAAAGCTCATGTTCTAAATTACATTCTATAGTAAGCCTGCAGGTAGGCAATTGTCTTTGTTATGAAGGTGTTTCAGGCTAAGAAAGCAGGAACCAGAGCCTGACACTGCTAAGCACTCTGTCACCTCCCATATGCTGATCACACCCCAGCAGAGCTCTGCAGAATGCAGGGCAGGGCAGGGCAGGGCAGGGCAGATGCACACATGGGTCTCTCTCAAGAGCCCACACAAAACCAGACCCACATCTGACACCAGCAAAACGCAAAGCACAAGCCTCAAAGATATGTCACTGAGTATCTTTCTCCCCCATGGGAACTTGTGCTCAGAGTCCAGGAGACGGCACAGCCACATGTTGCTTAGGGAGACACCTGGCTGAGCAATGAACCGTGTACCCAACTGTCTAGAAATTCCGTCCCTGGTGTCCAGCTCTGGCTGCCTTGGTCACATTTCCTTGGCAGCTGAACTCACTGCCAACAGCACACTGCAACCATCCTAGCTGGGTGACTTGGGGACACTGTTGGAGGTAGGGGTGGGTGGCAGACAGGGACCAGAGGTGCAGGAGGGGGGTATAGGAGGGAGAGGAGGAGCTGCTGCTCATTACACCAGGCATGATTTTCACAGGGCCACCTGCATGACCCAGAGCTTGGCCAGGATAGACAGGGACACGTGGGTCCTACATAGCACAATTCAGAACCCCAAACAGAAGGGGTTACATTCTCTTCCACAGCGCCGCTGAGGGGGGTCCCCAAAGCAGCACATCAACATCCCCTATGCTCTTGTGGTAAATACACACTCTGGAGCCCATCCCAGACCCTGTGACTCAGAGCCTGTGTTGAAGGAACCCCCGGGGTGTCTGACTGCTGCTGAAGCATGAATACCAGCGAGCCTCTCTAACACTGAGCTAGCCACGCTGGTCACCAGAGTGGGGCTTGTTGTCTGTTTCATATGGTAATTGCTGAAATTGATGTCATTTTTCCCTCAAATGGAGCTTGCCTGGAATGTCTCTGGTTTTTTATTTCATGGCATGGTCGTTAAGGAATCGAACAACAACTGAAGCTCTGTCAAGTGGCCCCGTTTTCCAGTGTGGCTGCCCACACCCAGGGTTTCTGGCGTCTGCATCACCTGTCTCCATCTGCGATCTGGTCTTCCCAAACATTCTTGTTCCAGTGTCACCCCTGCCCTCACCGAAGGAGAATCAAGTCACATAAGCAGAAGGGCACGGGTACCTCTGGAAAATCCACAGCTGCCCAACACCACAAGGCACCTCATGTAAGCAGAATTATTCCTTATGTGTCCTTTGATGTCTACTGATTTCATTCAGGATCATGTCCTCGAGGCTCATCCACATCATAAAGTTTGTCAGCATGTCCTTCCTTCATACTTTTGCATATGCGCATTTTATTAACCCATTCAACCATCTATGGTCACTTGGCTGCTTCCACATTTGGCTCCAGAAACAAT